TAATGAAATTCTCATTTTCTTCTTATGGTTTTTTTCGATCTTAAGTCTCCACATAAATCTTGGTGTTCTTATTTGTTCTTCTTTATTTCATTGTTGCCATTATCTTGAGATCAATTCATAACAATATCGAAGAATTCAAAGATAAGCCTAAGACGAGGGGTTGAAAGTAGAACGGTACAAGTTTGAAAGAAAGGGTCGAAAGCTTAAGGATAGCGAGTAATGTTGGGAGAATGCACAGTTAGGGAAACACAAAAAGGTTTCTTAAAAAAAAAAAAAACTACATTTTTTAGTGTTTTATAGAAGAGTGTTGAATAAGCGCTTTAGAATTTTATAGGTAGTGCATGGACAGTGTATAGAAAATATATTTTAGAATCTCCAACTCATAGAGTTTCAGAAATATGTTGAATGCTTGAGGAACATTGTTATATCCATAAATTAAGTGACATGCACGTGACGAGGTCCACATTGGCCAACTCAACATTGATTATTCAATTGGATTTGACCTATTAAATTAAGAAACCTCGTGCAACCTTATATTTGGCTTGGACTTGGGCCCATTTCACAAAAAAACCAATTAGCCCTTTCACTTCTCTATATGTATGTGAATAAATTTCACATAAGCTATGTTCATTCTAGCCTTAGCCAAACCCAATCCTTTGTCTCTTACAGTCATTTATCTTTCATTTGGTCATTGATTTAATCGTCGGAGTACAAACGGTCTTGGACCTTTTTTTTCCTCGACTGACGCCTTTACCTCCTAATTGAGTGTTCCAATGTGCAAGTGACGTTTACAGAAAAGGAATGTGGTCGAAATTTTGTTGTCACATTTTTTGAGGTCAATAAACACTAAAGTATGAATAGGAGTGGGGGCTTCTCATCCACAAACAATGGAAAATTTAATAGGGCCAAATCTGCACCATCACGCCCTCTACCATCATGTCGTAGATTTACAAGTATTGTTGGTCCTCCACGATGGTTTACTCACTGAATAGCTTGAAGTTTTAGCGTGCCCTCTTGAATGAAATGGACATTTTTCTTAAGATGAATGGAATGGACTTAATTTTTGTTTGTTTCAGTTACTCGATTCTCCTTTCCTTATTTCCATGTTTATCATCAACTAACAGGATTAGTTTTCACGATCTTAAAGAAATAAAGTTGAACTTGAATGGTAATCAAGAAGAATTAATTTTTTATCACTTTCTGAATAAAACAAATAATTTATTTGGTACTACATCATTCCACTCCTTGGACCGTTAATTTCTTTGATGCGCATAATTTATTTATTTAGCAAGGGTTTGAATCCCCTTTTTGAGGAAAGATAGTAGAATTTTTTCGTTTTCGATTAACTAGAACATCTGAAGAGGCAAACAAACCAACTCTAATTTTTTATATGCTACAGGATTTGGCGTGGTATTATTTTGGTTGATTTACGCCCATGTTTGAACCACATTAGAATTTTCATTCTAATTCTTCTGTTCATTTTCAACAATACATTTTTAATAAAATAATATTTTCCATCACATCAATAACTTTTCCTTTTTTTTCAGCCACACATTTTTCATCAATCTACTAGTCCAAAATACATTCTTCCAAAATAATATTGCTCAAACACACCCTAAATGAAATTCTGAATTAAAAGTTAAAACTTGATCTTCGACATGTCCTTTGTGAATTTTTATGGATTCGAAAGAAGTACGAGGCAATGAAGGATGTTTTAGGGCACATAAAATTTTTTAAATTAAATTTGACATCTTATCATATGATTATCGAGTACTAATATAAATTTTTTTTTTTTTTTATAATCGTGGATATCCGGACCAACTTGCGAATACTATTATAAATTTTGGAAAATCCTAAATGTATATTTTGCTTTAAATTATGGTTGACATCTTTCATGTGGCACAATTTGAACAGTGACGTGAAAAGGCGCAGAAGATATCAAAGGAGATAATGGTGTCCACGTAAACACTCATGCAAATCACAATTTAATGATAACATGATTGGTTCTAATTATTGTAGGACCCGCTAATCTTTTCATGTGGCTCGGCGCAATCAGGAGATTCCTTAAACCTACACACAGTCACAGACTTTAGTTAGCCCACAGAATCAAAATACAAAACNTCTCTAAAATTAACGTTTTCAATCATTCCATTAGATGCACAGCCAATTCCACTATTCTCACCAACTAATGATCATTTTTATATTCTAAGAAGAACACATAAAATTGAATTGTGTTTGAAAGGATATCACAGTATTAGAATTTCCAACATTAGGAAAGCTCATGAAATGTACTAAAATTAAGGGTATACATGGTTTCATTTGGTCCTAGTTTCAAGAGAATCGAATTGAACTATGAACCAATAATATTTTTGATAATAGAATCAATAGTGTTTTTTTTTAAGATATGGAACAAAATCGGAATTGCACCCTTCGGTTCTAATTTTGTTTGGTTCAGTTCTGATTCCATTACTTAGATTTTCAAATGATAAATGCAAATTAAAATTTATCATCATATCCATATGTTAGTAATATATACCTAAATCAAGAAAATAAATTCCAAACATTTAGCAAATGTAATGATAGCTATGTTGTAGGAGTGTGAGCATGTGTCTAAAGTTGAAAATGAGAAATGAATTAGAATTTAGATTTAGAGTTTGACTGCTTTCTCCTATAGGTGATAATGTAAAATATAATGGTAAATGACCTTTTTTCCATTTTACACTTGTACTTTTTTAAAGTTCGATTTATTTATTTTGGTGATTCACTTATTTGTAAAATGAAATAATAATAAAAATTGAGTTATATTCTCGGTTCTAGTCTAGTTTCAGAACCAAATGGTTTTTGATTCTAAGAACCAAAATCATCAATTTTTTTGTAGAATAGAATCAAATCGTTCGATTTAATTTGATTCTAGTTTGGTATGTTCATTTCGTCCACCATTAACTAAAACTTCATTAGACAATTATAGCACAACATTAGTTCTACGTTAGGAATATTGCAAAATTGGTGGAGGAAAAATAAAATGTGTAGTTATTTGGTTGTCAATTCAAGTAACATAATTCTATATGAACATGTACAACCTTAGCATACCAAAAGACTTCCAAGTTAAAGTAAAATTCATACTATACCAAGCGGGGCGACCCTCCTATTTGTTGCTAAGCAACAATACTTCCTTTCTTTTCTCTTTCTATTGTCCCTTTTTACCGCATGTTCCGTTTCATGTTGGGATGATGGATTAACATGTGAAGTGGGCCTTCTTATTTCTTTGCAACACTCATTTTTTCTTTTGCCGGCCCCGTGTGATGTGGCCCTGTACACATATCTTTATCCATTCCTTTTCATGCTGGGATGAGAAGAAAAGATGGCACATCGGTTTCTTCTTGTGAAAGTCAGGCGTGGCTTTACTTTGTTCTTTTTCCACTTGGCCTTGATTAATGATTATTTCTAAAATTACTAATGTCCAAAGATGATAATAAATTAAATTTATAAAACGTATCGCATCAATTTAAACCCTGTTTGAGCCACATTCTTAAATAAAATAATATTTTCCATCAGATCAATAACTTTTTCTTTCTTTTTCAACCACATATTCACCATCACATTACATAAAAAATACATTATTTCCATTTTAATGTGCATCAAACACACTCTAATTACATTTTATAAAAACGGTACTAAGAAAAATTTCATAATTCTGAAATAAATATAATTAAAGGATGTAATTTCATTCTGAAATTAATAATAGCGTCCATTTATAGCCATCCATTCAGGAACACTTGAGATAATTCTCAGATGCAGTGGCCATACATAGGTTACACTGGTCTTATAACATAAAATCAGACCCTTAAACATGAAAAACCCAATATCAAAGACAATGATAGAAAGATTTTACCATTAGTAGTAGAACTTTAATATATAATACAACTGATAAAAGTAAGAAAGGGGCCTCCTCAAGGGCATTTCCGTCAACAGTTGTTTTTCAAGGGCATTTTGGTCCTCCTTCCTTGGTCTTCCAGTTGTTGTAGCAAGGGCATACATTTTTATTACCATAATAACCTGGTGGCACACAGAGACACTTTCTGCAGCACTTCTGACAGAAGAACATGCATGGTTTGTGGTACTGTGTCTGGCTACACCTTCTCGAGCATTGTGAAGGGCATTCTAGTCATTTCAAGCAGTCCAGAAAGGATAGAAAAAGTTGAAATTAGTTGCTTTGTTGACTGGTAGTCAAAGAATGCAGTAGAAATGTCATCACTCAAAAGTTCTCATGGTCCAACCACTTTGACTGGGAAAATGGGGATCTCCAGATTTGAAGCCATTTTTCTTGAAAATAAGCTAAAAATTCGTGGCAGGTTACTGCCTCAAGAATCCAAGATCCATTAATGAAATAAACAATTGTAACATACGCTGCAGAGTTAGATTTAGAAACTCCATTAACTATGCAATTTTTTTAATAAAAAATAACTTTACATAAACTTGAACAATTACCTTACTTTTTAGCTATATATTCTTTAAAAAACTATTAAAAAACCTACTTTTTTTAAAAATGTGGCACAATCACAGTGTGATCCACTCTATTTAACAAACAAATTATATAAATAATTTATAAATTCAGTCAGAATGTATTCATAATTATTATTTATTATTGTCCAAGCTGTAGATAGTAACACTCACGGGAGCTTTTCAGGCTGCCAGGACCATACCCACCCTGAAATAGCGAAATAGGAAAAGAAAACAGAAAACAGAAATATATCAGCACAGATCTTCAGATGAGAAAAAAAAAACCCCAGATTTCGGAAAACCAAGGTATTCTAGTAAGAACCTAACCTTATTAGGGTGCCCACCTGCCATCACCTATGATATAACCATACACAAGAATGTATCAGAAAAAATGACTCCCAGTTTTTCAGCATTATAAAATTACAAATCTTGAAAGAAATTAAGTACTCACCGTGATCTGCAGCATGGAAATGGCTAGAAGTGCGAGAAAAACTAAAGCAAAGAACTTGGCCATGGTTTTGGTTAGCAAATTCTAAGCACCCCTCTTCTCTATGAGTAAAATGGAATGCAAAAGCAGAAGAGAGAAGAGAGGGGTTTTGCAGTGAGGATGTTTGGTGTCGTTTGGAGATGTATAAATAGGGAATTCTTTGGGGGGTTTTTTGGGGAGTGGAGAATTGAAATAAATAAATTTCGGTAGCCCCACCGACTTCTCAAGAATTGAATTCCGTTTGGGCCCACTTGCTTTAAATGGGCACTTGTGAGTTGTGGCAAGTTGATGTCTTGATTTAATTTTCACAGTCCAATAATAATCTCAAAATTTAGAAAAAACAAAGTAAACTTTACTTTCTATAAAAAAAAAAAATTCGGAAATTTAGTCCCAAGAACATGAAAAAAAAATTTATTTAATCTGGTACAAATCATTTTAGTTTCTTGATTTTCATGAATTGCTTCCAACCTTTTGAAGTTGGAATCTTTTTTAGCATTCTCCAAGTTCACATTACACTTGATGAGTGAACACCAAGATCTAACCAAGAATCCATAACTTCAACAACATAAGACTTGTTAGTTGTTGGATACCAAGAGAAATTATATAAAATCTCTAGACTTCAAGTCATAAGTCTCGTTTCCTTGATCAAGAAGGCTTAGATTTTAGTATGTTGGACACTTGAAACTTAAGTCTCTATTTGACAATCATTTTTTCAATTTTTTCAATTTTTTTTTTGAAAAAATATTTATTTTCAAACATTCTCGCAGCAAAATATTCTTTACATAAATTTAAATTTTTTTCCACATTTTAACCACACATATCCAAAATTTACTATTGAAAAACTCATTCTTTCTAAAGAATGGTTGTCAAATAGAGGCTAAGTTCTAAGCAACTTAGAACTCTTCCAAGTACATGATCAAAGGGATTCATAACTTTTCAGCTAAAAGTATGATTTTAATCTATTAAAATTATCAATTTTTATCAAAATCTACTGAAATTATGATTTTAATCTTTACAAAATAAGGGAATATGTGTAAAACTTAAACTTTAATTATACGTATAACTAAGTCCTCGAAATTGTTTGGAACTATTAAAGGATTCAGTCAGACCTATATAAATCAAACTATAATATTTGGACATAGATTATTCGATCCGACCTATCTAGTCAAATATTAGTCTGGATTTGTTCTACTAAATGTCCAAAGATTGCAAACACGTTTTTTACAAAAAAAAAATAATAATAATAATAAATAAATATTAGTCTGGATTTGTTCTACTAAGTGTCCAAAGATTGCAAACAAGTTTTTTACAAAAAATAATAATAATAATAATAATAATAATAATAATAATAATAAATAAACATCAGAAACCCACAAAATTAAACCCCCAAACCGTTTTCCCCCAATCCCCAGCAAGCTCAACCCTTTGCATTTCCCCCAAATTGACACCCATAACTCCTCTCTCCCTATTCCGGCGACTACTGCCCGGCGAAGACTCTGCAAGTCGACGATGCCGGGCATCTAATCGCGAGCCAACGAAGTGCCTAAACCTACAACCTTCAGTGAACCCTTGGTTTTGGAAACCTTTGAAAAACCTTCGACCAAGGGCCGAACTCAATCTTACAGAGACCAAATATAGAAAAAAGTAAGTAAAATAGTTCACATCTAGTGATCCACATGAAAACGATAGATGGCCGAATAACTTTTTTTAAGTGTATGTTTGAAAGATGGTATAAAAAATAAGAAAAAATTGTAAATTCACATATAATTATATAAAATTATTTTATTGAAAAAATATAATTGTGAATCAGATCGTGGCCTCCAAGTCTCCAACAAAACAGTTTGCAGGCACAAGACGGTCTTGCTATCAAAATTGAATGATAGGGTTTCACTGTTGGCTTTCAAGGTTTTAAATAATGAACCAACCCGACTCGACCCACCATTGTTTTAAATTTATTTTATCCGACCCAACCCGAATTTATACCTAAACCGACCCAACCCGACCTATTTCGAGTCGGGTCGGGTTTTCGGGTCGTGGTTTTCAAGCCCAGCCCTAAATATAAAATTATTTTATTGAAAAAATAAATTAGGTAAAAATGAGTTTGAATAAAACGTTGAGTTATTACAATGTGAAAGCGCATTCAAGACATGTGGGGAGTTAGTTGGAGAAGTTGTGGATAGAGTCCCCAAATTAATATTAAAATAAAAGCACCTAATAAATTTCTTCTAAACTGGTAGAGAATATTATAAAATTATTAATAATTTAATGGGAAAGTATACCAATCAGAGAAAAAGTTGAAATCTGAAACCCATTGCATGTGCTTGGCAAAGGCAAGCACATGAATCAACTGCGTACTCTGTGCTGTAGCCCATCTCTCATGCTTTTCCTTGTCTAAATCTACATTTAGATACGCGTTATATATTCCGGTGGGGTCTACGTATGACGTACTCCGGTTTATGAGCTTAGAGTCGGGTGTGAAGAGGCATCATAGTGGATTTTGTTCTGTTAGAATAGAGATGTCAAAATGTGTCGATCAATACCATTTCAGACAAATCGTCCCATAAAAGACACGTATGATTCCATCATGGATTGTGATACGGGCTGGTCTACCTTGACATTCATGTCGTACTCGACTCGACTATAGAAGATGACAATCAGTTAGATTGGCATATGAAAAAAAATGTTTTCATTGGCCCAGCATTTGTTTTGCCTTTCTTCTGCCAGGCTTCCAAAGTCTAAATGCTATCTAGTGTTAATAGTTATTCGATTTCATAGCCATTCAAAAAAAATATCTAATTTCTTCATTTTAGATACAAAATAATTGTAGAAGCTAGTAAGTTGAGTATGGATTGGCTCTGCTTGAGTCTTGTGGCTTAAGGAATGACCGAAGACAAACAGCCTTTACATCGATCAAATACCTAGAAGGTTCAATACCAGGCATCAAGTCTACCGGTCTTTTAGGATTTCTATCACTGTACTTCCAAACATGTCTCGATTTACAATTTTACATTGACATATTGATAATTAAATGTTCTTCAAGAGTAATTTTATTTACTCTTTTAGTTCTTTTTATGTTTTTTTTTTTTTTTTATTTAGCCCCTGTTTGAATCACATTAAAATTTTCATTCTTATTCTTCTATTCATTTTAAACCACACAATCTTTAATAAAATAATATTTTTCATCACGTCAATAATATTTCTTTCTTTTTTTAACCACACATCCTCCATCAATCTACTATTCTAAAATACATTTTCCCAAAATAATGTGGCTCAAACATACACTTAATACTAGTTAAACGTGTATTGCACGTTATTTTGAAATACTTTATAAATGATATAAAAGTAATATTTGATACCAATTTGTTTGGAGGATTTGACTAGTCTCAAATAAATTAAAGAAAATAAAATTTAGAATAAAAATTTAAGAGAAAAAAATTGTAGTCTCAAGACTCAACTTTTATGATTTAAATTTTTAAGGATGATGAAATACTACAAATAGGAAACATTTTTATACTACATTTAATACATAAGAATTAATTGTTAAT